ATCAACCGGCAGCATTCTAGAAAATGAACAGAGATCAAATTTGATGAATAACACCCTTAGAATAATTTCTGATTTACAGCAGTCCTGTGATTATGGTAAGTTGGGGGGCTTGGGGGGGAAGGCTGCAACATTATGCTGTGGTTCTTTTGTATTCAGGCCTGGGGAAGGCCACTTTCACACAGCTGGGGGCATCAGTTTTCTTATTTCTATCTTAACATGATAGTTACCTTTAAAAAAAAAAAATAATCCGTTATACTTTACATCAAGTTTAAAATTTTATTTTTAAGGAATTAACTATTTCATTCTTGAAATTTTATCTTTTGTGCTATCTTGTCTTTGGTTTTATTTACAGAGCAGGACTACTGTAACTACAATAGTGACTGCAATACTATTCAGTCATTTAGCTTTTACCCATTTAGACCAGCTTTTTAGCATCAGATATTTAGTAAAAAATCCTATTCTTGTCCAAGGTATATTTTATGGAAAGACCTAAAGCAATCCAAATGTTTAGAAAAAGGAGGTTTGAAAGGAGGTTTCAATTTAGGGACTAGATTTTAGAGAAGATTGTTTAGGGACTAAAAATAAAGTTCACATTAGTTTAAAATGTAAAAAATAATTAAGCAATATTGTCATGCTTAGTAGTATTTATTCTGTTCACTAAGAACATAGGGTCTCTATTTTTTTTTCCCCATTTACTTTTGGTGATGTTAAAAACAATGAGGTTGCCTCATTTAAAATAAATTTGTGTCAAAGCTAACTTGACTGTGCCTATATTTAAAATATGTCCAGGCGACGGAACATCTTAACTAAAAAACATTAGATAATCTAGTGTTTCCTCAATTTTTAAAATTAACATCAAATTATAATGCTATAATAATCTAGTAAAATAATCTTATGTAAAATGTAGGTACTACAGGGAGGAAACGCATTTACAAATGTGAACTAGGTTTCTTTTATTTAGAAAACCCTCCTTTATATCTTGCATTTAAAATAAAATAAAGTCCCCAACTTTTCTATTCAATTTCTTAGGAAAGAGAGACTTTGTAAATGAAGTTCTTTTATTAAATATTACACAAAAAATTATGATGCTACAATTTTTATCTATGCTTTTAGTACTTAGTGTAACTCCTTGATTTCATCACTAACAATCTCTAAAGTACCTTCATTTTAACAGCAAATAACTTTACCATAGTAAATCCCTCCTAGAGTCAACTTAAATTTTTGTGTCATGTGGCCTTGGTTTATTTCCAAATATATCTTTTCTCTCAATTTTTAAAGTTCTACGTAAAATGCATATTATTAGCGTTTCAGTTAGTCTGTACTTTATAGAATAACTGTGTCTGTCACCGTTTACCTAGATATTCCCATGTTGCCTCATGTCCAAAAATATCTGAACTCTGTTCAGTATATTGAAGAACTGCAGAAGTTTGTGGAAGATGATAATTACAAGTAGGTTTGATCTTTGAGGTGGTTTGTATTGCTTTGTGCTATGTTGTACCTTTCCTTCCCACTTCATATCTCCGCTGTCATACATGCATGCATGCCTTGCCAATGTCTCGTACAGTGGAATGAGGTGATTGCTTCATATATCATCACAGTAAAATTGAATCAATACACAAATGTCTGATCTCTTTTTACAAAGTATTTTTGTTTTAAGTTGTTTAAAACAAAGTAGTGATTAAAGTGACTTCTTTTACCTGTATATTAAGGCATGCAGGTGTTAACAAAATTTACACTAAAATTTAACAAAACAATTGATAATTAAGAAATCATTCATTTTAGAAACATGTTCAGGCTTTTTTTTTTTTTAAATAAATATTGAGAAAGTGTTAAGGGAATTCTTCCCTCCTGGATAAAAGATGGATTTCCTAAATATTGCACCATATTTCTTTTCTTTGTATTGTAGCAACTCCTTTGTTCATAATGATTTCAGGTCCCTTTCTTTGACTCTGCCATTCGTATTACTGCCCAAAACGGAAGGATTTTTGAAGTGTTATTTTTATCATTGTGTTGTATAGCATATACGTGTGTGTATGAGTGTATTGTTGGAGTGCTTTCATAAAGTGAGTGAATAACTATTTCTTTGTCTTGAAGTGTCTCATTTTTCTCTTAGCGGTGATTCAGTGACTAGGGGGGGGGGAGGGTAGGTGTGTCCGACAGTAAGATTGGCACAGGATAGAGCAGGGTTTAGGGCTTTTGAACATAGGGTCACTATGAGTTGTGGGTGACTTGATGGCACATAGCAACAACATGTCTTTTTGGGTGGGGTTTTTTGTTTTTGGGTGTTTTGGGTTTTTTGCTTAGCCTTTGTTTTACCTATGCCCAAGCTTTCAAATTTAGCTTTATCCTCTATTATTTTTTCCTGTATTAAAATTTTAGCAAAGTGAAAAGACTAGATGATTTTTCAGTGTTCATATATGTTGTTGTGTTCATAGAGTCAGAACCGAGTCATAGCTAACCTTCTGGTGGTTTTTCAGAGACAGTTAATCACAGGGGAAGAGATTGCCCATCCTTCTCCCCCAGAGTAGCTGGTGGCCTCGAACCACATGCCTTCAGGATTGCAGTGCAGCTTCTTGCTACTAGGCTACCAGAGCTCCAAAAACATAGCTATGTGTATATGTTCACTTTTTCTGTCTAATAATCATTATCAGATTCTCTTATTCCATAGACGTCAGCAATTTTAAAAGAATTTTATCAGAATTAGTCCCAGTAGACTACAAATTCTGAAAAACAGTTCTAAAAATAGCATTTCTTCAGATACTAAGTATAATCTAGATGCTGGCAATCAAGCCACAAGCCCGTCTAGTGAAGATTCTTTTAAAAATTTTTTATAATATACTTAATGTGTGTGTGTGAGGGGGTGTTTGTGAAAGTTCTAAAATTTTAAGTGTCAGATATTAATGACCTCAAGTCAAATTACTTTTCAGTCATCCACTCACTGAATTATCTTTAAATATTGGGTTTTTTGGTAACTTGGGGATAATGTCAGGTAGATTCTTTTTTTGATTGAACTATTAATGAACATCTTCCCTCATATTTCCTAGATTAAGTGTATGTTTAGCTTTGAATGAGAGAGTTGACTATTAAAGAAAAGAATGCTCCTGAAAACAGTATAGCTGAGTATTTCTATAAAAATGTTTTTATTTTTTTGACATTAATATTTTGTGAGAATAATCATTTTATATATTTTCTTTCTTTCGAAAATTCAGGCTTTCATTAAAGATAGAGCCAGGGACAAGCACGCCACGTTCTGCTGCATCCAGGGAAGACTTATTAAGTTAGTACATGGTTTTATTTCATTACCTGCATGGAGTATATAATGAAGGACCGATTCTTACACCAGCGTGTAAGGATCAGTTCAATTCTCAGTTGCTCAGCTTGTGTTCTGACACCAGCTGCATAAGCAACATTTCCCCTTCTGACCCTGATTCCATCACATTGGATGACATCATATGTAACTGTCAGGTGACTGAGAAGCCTGGCACTGCCACATTGTCACGTATTTTGGGAGGACACCATTCAGTCCATGACATTCAACCCTTGACTCAATGCTGTCAGGTCAATTCTGACTCATAGTGGCCCACCCTCCATGGGTTTCCAAGGCTATAAATCACAACAGGAGGAAGCTGCCCATCTCCCCTCCACGCCAAGGAGGTGCTGGTAGATTCGAACCAATGGAGGGAGGTACGCAGTCTTTGAGTTATATGCACTATGCTCCCATAACTCCCTTCCCACCCTTCATTCCTCCAGAACCATGTCTTTTCTACAGGCAAAAAAAATTTACCCTCCTATCACCCCAAAAGTCTTAAATCAACGCTAAGACCAGATTCCATCCTCATGTGATTCCTCTTTATCTCTAAATCTAAAACACTACAGACTTTCTGCTTTCAAAGTACAGGTAGGTACAGGGTAGTTTCCATTACAGATGGGAGAGATTGGAGAGAAGGAAGGGATCACAGAAACAAAGTAGATAAAAAAACGAAGAAGATTAATTTACAATATCTCTCAGATCTTGAAAACAGTTCTGTTCTCTGAGACTAGGCACTGATGGAGAGCATGATCTGCTACATGGAGCATGGCCATTCCAACTCTGGCCATGCTCTGGATTTTGAGTGAAAGCCCCTTGACCCTAGGGTCGGCTTCCCCTTCAGGCCCACTCATTCAGCACCTCTGCTTCCTCAGCTTTGGGTAGCCCCGTAATCCTAGTCCAGCTGTGTGACTGCCCTCCTCCTTCACTTCTAGTAGGCCCCCCTCACTCAGGGCAGCAGGTCTGGCCCATCATCTTGGCACTTGTGAAAGCAGCCCCACACTCCAAAACCAAGTTGGTGACACTGTGACCATTTAAACTAGGGAGGCCTTGGCCCTCTACTTTGAGACTTAGCAGGTTGTGACCTTACTTGTTGAGACGGAGGCAGCACTACTTTCCCTGCTCCTTGTCTCTTCAGTTTCTGCTCTCTGAGTCTGTGACCTCTTGGCCCTCTGGCATCTTGAGGTGGCCCAGCTTTTCCCCTTCTCAGGCAAGTGTTCTAGAGCTATTCATTATTCCAGTTAAGTGCCCAGTGGCACCCTGTGCCACCAGTAAACCTTGTGCCAATATCACTCAGTTCTCTTACTGTCTGGGTCAGTCCGTGGTTTGCACCATCTGTGCCATCTCTCAGGTTTCATCTTCTTTCTAATACCTCACTAGAATTGGCTTGACAACAAAATTCCACCAGCCATTCTCATCAACAACAGAGGCCATCTGGAATTTCAGGAATTTTAAAATTCTTCGACCGTCTGGCCATTATCCAATCCCAAAACTACTTCCAATTTTAGGTCATTCTGTTAGAGCAGCACCCTACGTTCTTAGTTCAAACTTCTGTCTTAATTGTCTAGTGCTGCTCTGAGAAGAGCCACAGGTGGGTGACTTGAACAGTAGAAATGTCTTCTCTCACAGTTAGGAGACTAGAAGTCGAGATTCAGGCCATCACCTCTAGGGGAACTCCTCCTCTCTGTGTTGGCTCTGGGAGAAGGGCTTGGCCACCTCTCATTCTCAGTGCGTTCATTGTTGCCTGGCCTTCTCCATGTGTTTTGGCATCAGTCTTCCCTGAACTTACAAAGTTTTCACTGAAAAACCCTAGATCCAAGGGATGCACTTCCTTGTGCTTGTTCTTTGTCAGTCTGAGGTTTCTCCTTTCCCTTCTGCTCAGTTCCCTTTTCTCTTTTAAGTTAAAAGGTGATGCATTCACCTCCTCTTCTAAGAGAAAGTCCCCTTCATCAGCTCAGGGGAGTGACCTGAATAAGGGTTTGGTTTGTATCCTACTAGAACCTCCTTAACAACTGATTGATAGATTGAACCCATCATGGGTGATTACATCATTATATAACTACCAAACAGCTGAGAATCATGGCTCTGTCAAAGTAACATGAGATTTTGAGGGAGATAGTTAGTCACCAAAATCTTAGGGTCACATTAGTCACCACATTCTTTGAGTAAAAGTTAACCCATTGTTGTCATGTGCTGTTGAGTCACCTGCTGCTCACCTTATACTGTTAGGTCCTGTCAAGAACGACTCATAGCAAATCTGTGATGTCCTATCCTGTGCCATCCTCACACCTCCTGACACATTGTGGCAGTCCATTCTCATTCTCATTCTCAGGACACATCCTGAGTCCATTGTGGCAGTCAGCCTGTCAGTCCACCTGGTCAACGGTCTCATCCGCCTTTCTGAGTATCCTGACCCTCTCCAATAGATAGCCCCTCCTCACAACATGCCCAGAGTATCGGAGAGGAAGCTTTGTCATCTTTGCCTCCAAAACTCACTCTGGCTACACTTTTGCAAGACGTATCAGTTTTTATTTTCGGCAGTCCATAGGATGTTCAGTGCTCTTCTCCAGCACCACAGCTCAAAGGCATCAATTCTTCTAAGCTCATATTACCTAAAAGTCATTAACCTAATACGAAAGAACATGTTCCAAAATAATTATTTAATATATGGAAAGAAATATGTTGAAAGTGAAAATTTAGCTCACTTCTATCTGATTGGGTTGTTCTGCTGTAGTTTGTTAGTAATATTCATACAACTAAGCCACCTAACAAAACCGAAAAGATAGAAAATACAGCAAAGTACTGACAAATAGTGTATCAGTACACACTAGTTTACTCACTGTCCTAGGCAGCGGGAGTGAGTGCCATGAGAAAGTTCTGTGATTTACATGGGAAATACTACAAATTTATGGAACTATAGAAATCCATTTTAGTGACTTTACTTTTTTATTTTAAATTTTAGTACAGGGCCAAATGCTGAAAATACAAAAAAATAATCATAATCCTTTACATCACCTCTTGTAATGTCCAGTTAAAACAGCACAGGATAGAAAAAACTGGGAAATGGATGAGAGGGTAATGGTGGAAGACAGAATGAACATAACTAATGTCACTAAACTACACCTGTGAAATTTGTTGAAATAGGTAATATATATATTTTTGTTATGTGCTGTCAAGTCACCTGTGACTCATAGCAACACTATGCACAGTAACTCTGAATCCTGCTCTATCCTGAGCCAATCTCACTTCCTCTTGACACCCCTACCCATTACTGGATCTGTCCATCTCATCCAGGGTCATCTTCTGCTGCACTGTCCCTGCAGCCTTCCAAGCATAATGTCCTCCAAGGACTGGTCCCTCACAGCAACATGCCTTATGAGACAGAGCCTCAAAATCCATGCCTTCAAAGAGCAGCTTGTTTTCACCCTTTCCAGGATAGCCCTGTTAGATCTTTTGGTAGTCTGTGATTTGTTCAGTGCTTTTTTCCCAGCACCCAACTCAAAGGTATCAGTTCTTCTGCCCTCTTTGGTTGTTGTTTAGCTCTTTGATGCATAACAGGTAATTGCAGAGACCATGGCCTGGATCAGGCGCACTTTAGTCTCAAGACTGACATCATCATTCTTTAGCACACTGGAGAGGTCCCTGACACCAGATTTTTCTAATGCAATTTATCTTGATTTCCTGACTTCTGGTGCCAAGAGTGTTGATTGTAGAATCAAGCAAGCTGACATTGTTTATAATCTCATTCTCTTTTCTATCTCTCATGATGTTGCCGGTTGGCCCGGTGGTGAGCTTCTTTTCTTGATGTTGAACTCCATTCAATCCATAGTGCGGACTACAGTCCTTGAAACTGCAGCAAATTCCTAGACACTCCTCAGCAAGCAAGATGTCATCTGCATAATGCAGGTTTTTGATGAATCTTCCTCTAAAGGGGAGGACTCAGAAGGTCTAGATGCTTTAGTCTTTGTTTTGTCTGTGATGTAAGATCCTCAGCAAATCTCTTTTGATTCTGCTCTCTTCTCTATAAATGGGGAGAGTACCTGTACTGCAGTAGATCAAAATGAATATATTTTATATATTTTAAGGAGCCCTTGAGGTATAGAGATTTAAGTGCTCAACTGTTAACCCAAAAGTCAGTGGTTCAAACACACCAGCCAACCCAGGGAGAAAGGATGAAGCAGTCTGCCTGCAAAGATTTATAACCTAGGGAACAGTGTGGGCAGTTCGACTTTGTCATGTAGGGTCCCTATGAGTGCACTCAACAGTCGATTTTGTACAGCTGTAGATTTTGCACTTAAATACAGGATTTTCTCGCTCCCAGTAAGTGAAACAGAAATACTCCTAACATTTTCTTAAAATTTAAGCTACCCTTTCCCCCCCTTTATTTTATTTGGAAGAATACTAATATTTGAAATTTAACCCTTAGGTCCTGAAGTAGGAGCGTCTCCAAAAAGTGGAAGAAAAAGTGTAGCCGCTGAAGGAGCCTTGCTACCACAGACACCCCCATCCCCTCGGAATCTGATCCCACATGGACATAGGAAGTGCCATAGCCTGGGCTATAAGTCAGCATTTTTTCCAATTTTTCGTATTTTAGGTTATTTATAATTTAGTATGGTCTGTTTACTTTATTATTAATGTCTTTTCATACTTGTGTAAAAACAGTCTCACTCTGTTTCATTGTAATACTTTATTTGCCTAAAAGTATTACGGTTTTCTTTACCTAGTTGGGCGTTATAGTCCTTCGAGAGTTGGGTTCATAACCCAAGGGTGGTGCCTCTATGGCGATCGGCGCTACCAGCAGCTCTGAGGGAGAAAGATGGGCAGTCTCCCCCCATGCAATTTACAGGCTCCAGAAGCTGCTGGGCAACCAGCTCTAAGTCAATTCTGACCTGACGGCAATGAATTTTGAGTTTTATCTAAATTTGGAAATCAATTTTCCAACTGTATCATTATATTTAGGCAAAAAAACCCCAACATTGCTGAGAGCTATACTAAGTTCTTATAGAAGCAACAAGAGTTTCTTTTTATATCCAGATAGTCATCACATGTGTTGACCATTATAAGTCGTCATGGTTTTAGAAGATCTGTTTAAAAGCAAAATTCTTATCATTCTTAAGTATGAACAAAGAGAAACCCTTTTTTATTTGTTTTCATGAAAGTTTACAGAGATTTAGGATTTCCATTCATTCATTGTTGCACTTTTCTCCCTGCCCACCCCTCCTTCCCAGTTCATTCTTCTCTTTGAAAAGTAAAAGAAAAATTATTTCATTATTATACAATCCTTCCCCCCAAGTTCACTCCACTATGCAGCCTTCGTTCTGGACTCCTGTTATGACAATAAAGCCTAATCATATATCCCTTTTAAAACAGTTCTCTCCCCCATCTGTTTCAATGCAGTATACATAATTTATCCCATCTTTCTCAGTCTCTCCCCAACCCCGATGTCAGTCCCGTTTTATAACAGTGACACTATGCAGTATTTTTTCTTTTGTGACTGAGATATTTTACTCACCATAATATCCTCCAGGGCCACCCATTTTGTATGGTATTTCATGATATCCTTGTTTTTCAATCCAATGTGGTATTCCATTGTATACCACAACTTATCTACCCATTCATTTGTTGATGGGCACTTGGGTTGTTTCCAACTCTTTGCTATTGCGAACAAAGTCGCAGTAAACATGGGTGTGCATATATCTGCTTGGGTGGAGGTTATGGTTTCTTTGGGGTATAGTCCCAGTAGTGGAATTGTGTGTCAAATGGTATTTCTGTTTGCAACTTTTTGAGAAAGCACCTTATAACCTTCCATAGTGGTTGCACCATTTTATACTCCCACGAACACTGAATAAGGGTTCCAATTGGGAAACTTTTTTTAAAAAAAATTTTATTTTAAGGTAGATATGACCAGGTGCCCTAAAAAATGTCCCCCAAACTTTAGTTTGAGACTTTCTGGATAAAATCTGTGTCTTCAGTCGTATAAAAAAAAATTCAGAATTCAGTTTATTGTAGAATTTTCTATATCCTAAAATGTTATATAAAACTATTGTTTATTAGATTAAGAGGGAAAAGACTTTCCAACTATAGTGAAAATGAGAGATTATAATCTCTAGTATACCCCTGTACTTCTCTTGAAGTGTATGTATTTTCTTTGTAGATCATTGCTTCATATGAAAAGTATAGACTCCTTTTCAAAGATTTCAGGTGTTTGTCTTAAAATTTTCCTGTATAGAATATTTTTTGTTGTTTCATCTTAAAATGTAAAGAAAATTATTTTGTCTATTTGTAAACTAATGTTTTATGAGGTTAAAATTTAGATAAGTAAAAATATTGTTTTTCTCTTGAGCTAGCAATAAGAATAAAATATGGAAAATCTTTATTTCAGTTTCATTCATAAAATGAACACAGCAGAGTTTAAGAGTGCAACATTCCCAAATGCGGGCCCCAGACACCTGCTAGATGACAGCGTCATGGAGCCCCACGCACCATCTCAGAGCCACGCAGAGAGCTCTACTCTTTCCAGTGGGATATCAATAGGTAAGAGATATTCCTACAGTTTCTATAAAATGAGCTTTATACATAAATTGATTAGCTAGAAACAAGCAATTAACCACAAAAGAGAAACCTTGATATACACAAAGTAGCAGTTTAGGTGTAGGGTCTTCTTAGTTTTAGCTACTGATAGTTCACGATGACTTAAAAGAAGCTCAGTTACTTATCCTTGAGTCCCGAAGAGGCAGAATTTGAGGGATAGTGGAAAAAGAACACGGAACGGTTGAATTGGTGTTAAATACGTGTTTTGGATGTAGGGATGAGGATACAAATCAAGTATGATCCCCATGGTTCATTTAAACAACTAGTTAGTCAGATAGTGATGTCACTTACTAAAGTAGAAGATTGGAAGAGTGTGCGTTTGGGGCAAGACTTGGGGACTCGAGCATTCTGTTTTGGTTTGGCTTATTTCTCATGGAGATGCCTGGTGAGTAGTTGGTTTCATGAATCTGTAGCCAATAGGAATGAATGAAATTCTGTATAGATAGATAAGGTTTCAAGCCATGGGACTGGTTGAAATCACCCAGAAAGGAAGTATAAATAAATTAGAGAAAAACATTGTAATATTTAGGACGTTTTTATTTTTTAAAAAACGAATAATAAGAATGAACCATTAAAGGAGATTAAAGAGGGTCCAGTGAAGTTTAAGAAAACACGAGAGTGTAATGTCAGTCGCCAGTAGGATGAGTGTCTCAAGGAGGAAGGAAGTATTAATGCATCAGGTGTGAATAAGAGAAGATGAGTATGGTAATTTGACCAGTTGATTTGGCAAGATAAAAATCACTGTTGACCTTACTGAGAGTTACTTGGTAGAATAGTGGAAGCACACCTCTGACTGTTGTTATGTGCCATCGAGTCGCCTGCGACTCATAGCGACCCTATGTACAACAGCCCTAAACTCCTCTCTGTCCTGTGCCAATCGCACCGTCTCTGACACTCCTATCCCAATTATCCCAGTCACTGAATCAATCCACCTCATAGAGGGCCTGCCTCTCCTGCGCTGTCCCTCCACCCTCCCAAGCATGATGTCCCTCTCTAAGGACC